GTTCATCAATCAACATGAAATGAACAAACCTAAGAGAGGTCTACCCAAGGTACATATACACCAAGTATCAAAGCATTCAGGCTTGTAGTTTTCAAGAAGAAGTCGAAAAAGTAAAACATTGACACGGACGACGGACGACGACGACGGACGACGACGGACAATCACTCATATGATAAGCTCCGCTCGACAAAGTCGACAGCGGAGCTAAAAAAATCGAATTGAATTCGTAATAAATATCAAAATATTGGGCTTGTCGTTTCTGGAAATAAAATACAATTGTCGACGAACTTACTCACATACGAATTGTGATATTCATAATTTGGGAATACATATACGAGAATTATGTCAATAGGACAAAGGGTAAAGTTTAAAGTTGTAAAACTGTATACTAGTAACTCACTTGGAAGCCAAGCAATATCCCCAGATACCATGGCGGATAATCTGTGACGCCATAAGTGACGTCACCCTTCAGAGTTGTCAAAATATTCTTTGCTTCCTCTTTGGGGGTGAGCTGACGAACTCCATCTTCGTTATGCTTCAAAAGTAATCAACATATATTACTTGACCAATCAGACTTGAGTAGATTATTTTGTCGAGAGGAAACGACTGAGTGGGTGAATGATGTCTAAACATTAACATGGCTAGAATAATAACATCAATTTCAAAACAATTCATCATATTAAGTGTTTGTGTGTTAATCAATTGGAAAGTGAGGTTATATGTTCATGGATCAGTCTATCATTCTATTCCACATTTGCAATATTATTTGCAGCCTTATTAACAAACTAGCCAGATCACGGTAATGACAGAAAACTCGCCAAAACGCAGGTAAAACGATATAGTGTTTTGCTTTGCTTTGCGGGAAAACATTGATATCACGTATTTTAGTGGTGCTTGGTTATGTTTAAATATGGTTACCAGTATGGAAATATATCTAGTACAAGCAAAGCAAGGTGCAGTGTGGAATTCGATTTATGTGAACTGACATACTTATTTACGTTCCGCGCGAGTGCGCAATGACTGGACGGCAAAATCCAGTTGTTGGCACTTTAAAGACAAAACAGCGAAGTTTTGTTGTTATTAAATATACACGTATGTGTCTCTACAAATAAAACAACGTATGAACAACGATGTCACAGCAGACTCGTGCTGATCAGTGAGCGATATTTGTTATTACACCTGCGCATACTGGTTGACAGTGTCGCAACAGTGTGAAACTGCGAGCAGTTACTAAAGAATGCTCACTTTTTTGATGAATTCGATGCCTGAGCTAGGATTGTAATGATTCACGTCGACGTTTGAAGTGAAAAAAACATATGTTGATATTGGATTACACATCAATATTAACATGTTGATATATGAGGTGTGGGTCATTCAAATAATGTATCCAAACTATGTCGCCTGAAGTAGTCAGTTTGTGTGCAATATACTACCAGTGAATCACTCACCTGACTACTCACGTGTAACTGGACTTCATCACTTTTGGCTTCGAATTCTATAGCCATGATGCTCGTCAACAGGTGCTAGACAGCAAGAATAACACTTTAGTTAGACGGTTTGGCACATAGGTTTCTAACTGAATTGTCATATATTGTAATTTGCAATTTCACACAGACCAGAATTCGACTATCGCCCAATCACACTCATGCTCAATGCACACAAACATAGTATTTGTTTGGAACAACAGAATAAACTTAGGAGGAAAAAAATCAAGGATTTATATTATTCATTTTAGAAGAAAACTGAGAAAAAAATATACATATGAAATAAACATGGGTAATACTTTAGGAGCTGCAAATATTCTGGGGGATATGATTTGTAGAGCTTCAGATGTTATGAAATATTCCATTGAAAACAAAACAACTAATGTGAAATGTTAGTATGACAGTGCTTGCAGTGTTTGTAGGGCAGGGTAAAGGACAGGGTAAAGGGCATACCGACAATTTAAATAAATATTTATCTAGGAAAACAGTACACACACTTATTTGTCATTCTCTTTTGTATGATAATGGAAATTTAGTGGATAGTGGTCTGACATTAAACGCACCTTTAGATATTAGATTTTTGGAAAAGATTGTGATTAAGCGAAATTGCCATACAGATTTCCGATTGTATTCCGAAATACGATAAGTCTGACTTCACCCTTCAAGCATTTTTATTTATTAGCCACGAGTAACTATACACCATTCATCCTTATATGGGTCAAAGTATCTACATCTACCATTCATCTTTTCTATGGCAGTGTTCACAGTACAAGCTGTGTTTTTATGGCTGTGTTTGGTCTGTATATTTTGTGCTGAATTTCTAATAATGCGACTAGTCCTTTGGTTTTCACCTTTCTATTTCTTCTCACTTGGTGGTAATTTACGTATATTATTGTCCTTGATCATAACCATAACGTTAATATGTCATACCTATTATTTATCTCCGGTGAGGTATTCCTTTTTTTTCACTGCAGTTATATGGTTGACTGATTTTACTGGTTGGCATGGTGTTTCATATTATGTCACTTAGGCCAGACTTTGTTTATTCCTTGTTTCTCGAGTTTTTATAAGGCAATTTTTTTGAGGAGAGCGGGGAAAAAATAAAATTAATTCTTTTTTTCCTTAGATTTGTGTGATTCTCAAAGAATTGTGAGAACATTGATCGGAGAGAAGAAATGAAATAACATTTTATTCCATGTATAACCTTGTTTCTCATCTGTGCGAGACTTCGATACTTTGATCATGATATTCCCACGAAAATGCAACTTGGATTTGTTATGCTGCGGGCCGTAAAAAAAATAAAGATAAAAATAAGCATTTTTTTGCGCTTACAAGTCGGCGGGCGCGAAAAATAACGCTGAAATAAAATTTTATTTTTATTTCATTTTCGGCTCCTGTTCATTCGGCGGGCTCGCGAAACAAAGGATAATAAAAGTCTGGCCTTACTGTGTTGATGTTTGACAACAACGTTTCACATTTGATGAAAAGTGAGCCAAGTCTTTCTGACAGTTAATCTATTATCACTATCACTACCCTGTTTCATCAGTTCCACAATGACACAATAATATACCTGCCATGGCATTATTCCTTCTCTTATTATCTTCTTCTTTGAATTATCGTTCGTATATTCAAAAATATTAAACTTCAAACTACTCTGCCAAGTTTCATTGAAATGTGATTGGAACTTATCATTAGAACGAAAATTATGAATTATTACGCTAATTAGGTAAATAAAAAGCATAGATTTAAACCAAAACTGAATAGGTCTGTCCATTGCCCTAGAGCATCCATGTACCAAGTTTCATTGAAATGTGATGAATAGTACTTGAGATATCAGTGACAATTTAAAAATTGACTAATCATTATGCATATTAGGAGACTAATATGCACATATTTACATCCAAAACTAATTAGGTCTGTGTATAGTTCTAGGGCACCATGTACCATGTTTCTTTGTAATGTAGTATCAATGGAACAGACGGACACACACACACATACATACTAACTAACGGCTTCGCACACAGGAGTCAAAAAATTAATTTAGGATGATGATCAATTTTGATCAATTGTATGCGCTAGTAAGCATGCCTGACAATTCTGTTTTCTGATAATTAAATCTAACGTAACAATTATTTAACACATATTGTGACATAGACTGGCCCAGCCGTGGTAATTATATATATTTATATTTCTTAAATCGTTGTGCGATGCGAAATTGCCACGTGGTAACTTCGCGTCAACGCGGAGGATTCTCAAACTCGTATAACAATAAAATTGCCCTGGTTTCTCCCTACACCATAATTCCCCTTTAGCGTTAAATGTTAGTACAATATATTTGTGGTCTTTACTTCTTTGTTTATCTTTCCATAATGTGAGAGGAGCCATCTTTCCTCCTGGGTTGATCTCCCTCCCCTCTGGTGTCAAAGTTCGTCCTAAACAATACCCTACTTTTATTTTATTTTTCTTCCGCAATCCAATTCGACAATCTGAATATCGCAGTGTTTAAATTGCATATTAGTTATTACAGTGTCGTTTGTCTTGCTGTTCTGCGTTTACTCAATATACACCCTTATCAGCCACACTGGCAAAGTCAGGACTTCTTTTTTTCTATAAAAAAAATTGATTATCAATTTAGCCTTTTAGCGTGATCGCGAAAACTACCGTGACCGGTCACGTTAATTTCGCGATCACGCTGAAAGGACTTAGAACAATTAAATATTTCTTTTTGTAAAACAAAAAAAAAAGAAGTCCCGACTTTACCAGTCTACCGATTCAGGTTGAATCACTGCCTTCGAAGGTGGAATATAATAGTGCATTCGGTATTAAGCTTATTCTACTTACCGCCATGGAAATATGCAATAAATTAATATGCGTAAAATAGTGAAAACATGTTTATATAGTAGACCTGCCAAAACAGTTTATACTAGCAGACCTCAC